CCTCCCTGTGTCATGGAGCACTGGGAGTTGACCAGGATCTGAACAGGAGGTTCCACCCGCGTGGGTTGTAATGTTGTTAGCGTTATGGTAGTGGCATGAGACCCTCAGCTGAGATCGGGGCCCTGTCGTGCTAGGTGCTGTACAGACATTGAGCAAGAAACAGTCCCTGCCCCTACTTACAGTCTAAATAGACAAGACAGACAAAGGAATTATTATTATCCCCATTTTATAGATGGGGAAACTAAGGCACAGAGGGACTAAGATGTTTGCCCAGGGTCACACTGAGTCTCTGACTGAGCTGGGGATTAATTGAACCCACATCTCTGGAGTCCCAGTCCAGTGCGACTACGAGACCATCATTCCTTTCTTTCACTGCTGGCTATGCCAGACTGTCGATTGTCCAACAGCCAGGGAAGGTGGGCAGCCTACGAGTCTGAGGTGGGACCCGAGAGTCAGGTGCCTGAGGTTCTAGTCCCTGGCTCTGCCCCATACTTACTGTGTGACCCTTAGAAAGTCACGTATCCTCTCTTTGCCTCTGTTTTCCCATCTGTGAAATGGGGCAGTACTTGCCTACCTGAGCTGGATGTTATGAGGCTTAATTAGCCTCCCTTCAGTGCTTTAAGCGCCACAGATGAGACACTATAGGGAGCACTGAGTATTACTGAGGCTGGAAGTTCTCCCTTCAAACCATTCTTGAAGGAGCTTGGAGGATACTATTGTCTCAGCCCTGTGAGGGGCTGAGCTGCGGATATTGCAGAAAGCTCAGCAGTACTTGGGCTCTGTTTAGATGTAGTTAACTTTTTAAAAAAATCAAATAAAATCCTGGGCCAGATCCTTTGCTGGTGGAAATCAGTGTAGCTCCCTTGAAATCACTGGAGCTATTCCGATCTATGTCTGCTGAGGATCTGACCCTGTAATATGAAACTCTGAACCTATATTAATAATAGCACCGTAGATTATTAAAAGTGCAAGGGACATTAAAGCTCAGACCTCCAAAGGTGCCCATCTCAGCTAGAAAGCCCAGTTCCTTTTTCTCCCATTCATGTTGTTTTCTTACCTTTTGCATTTCTCTGCGCTGACTTTCCTGGTCCAAGCTAAGTCCGTTTCTCTTTCCCCTTCATAGTGTCTGGGGTTCAGGTTGTCACGTTGTCTGGAGTGGCTCATACCAAAGAGTGCCTTGTTTTTGACAGTCTGCCCTGAGGTTGGCAGACACCCTAAACTGGTGATAAATTCTATAATTAGATTTCACCAATCCAGGAACAAATGTGAACTTCTGGATCGTTGCAACAGTCTTATCCTAGAATCACAGACAGTCCCTTTGGGCTCTCCAGTCTACCCGGCCACCCAGGCAAGCTGGACTTCGTGATAAATGGTCACTTACACCAAAAATCAAAAAATATTCAGATTGCTCCCCGTTCCAAGAGACCAGTCACTTACCCTAGATACATTTGTGCCTTAGATCTCATACCAAAGACAATCCTATAGTAAACTAAGAAAGGCTTTATTAACTAGGAAAAGGAAATGAGAGAGTTATTTACAGGTTAAAGCAGGCAACATGTTTACACAAATGAGTTCAGTCCGTGGTTCCAAAAGGTGACAGAGATGTAGTAATCTGTCAGCACTGCTTGTCTTTTTGGGGGGCTGACCCTGGGGATCTCTGCTTTTGGTTTCTTAGCTCCAGCCCTTGGAAGTCCAAACCAAACAGGAAAGAGATGACTAATTTTCATGCCCGCTATCTTTATTTCCCTCTTCCAGATTTCAAGCTGACGGAATGTGCTTTCTCACACTAGCACCTTCAGGTGTGTGAGAGGGCCATTAAACCAGCCTTTGTGCTGTGATGTTCCAGGATGGCCCAGTCAGTCTTCACAGTTCTTCTGGGTGAGCGAGGGAACCACTCATCCTAAATTCACAAGCTGGCCTTCATAGACCTGGAGCCTGGCAGTGTAGGCAGCCATGGATCTCTTTGCTGTTCAGGACACTGGAGAGCAACAGTGCTCAGCCCCCTGTGCTGCAGAGCAGAGCTAAAGAAGCTGGGTGTGGGGTGGAGGGCTGAGTGCTGTGCTATGAGGCGGGTGGGGGGGGGCTTCACTCAACAGCTCAGGGTGAGATGGGTTGGAGGGCACCAGACAGGGTGGCAGGGGAGGTGCTGACGTGGAGTATTCCTGGCGACACTGAAGGCAATGGTAATTTGGCACTAAGCCCTGCGTGTGGCACCAAAGGCACGTGGAGTGGGGGCAGGACTGCAGAAGTCACTGCGAGCACAATGGCAAGAGCTACCACCCATTGGGCTCTGCTCTCAGCCCAGGTGGCCGTTGGACAGTGCCGGGGCAAGGTCACTGATGTCACCGCTGGCTGAGGATAGAGATGGGGCAGGACGTGCTTGGCAGGCCAGGGAAAGGCATCTCGGATCTTTGTACGCAGGGCAGTCAGTAGGTTGTCAGGCGATGCTGCTGGCCAGGGACTTCTGGCAAGCATGTTGTTGTGTGGCGGTTGCTGCTGAATCAAAGCTCTGAAGGGTTAGTGAGTGTGGCACAATGGCAGGCACCTCCCCCCAAATTGCCCCAAAACCGGATTGGAGCAGGTGAGTGACAGCCCCAGCTCTCGATACCTGGGGAACTGAGATAGCCAGCGCAAATACAAGCCCACACCGCAGAGAACAGCAAACTCGCTACATAGGCAGCCCTAGAGTGTAAACTCCTTGCCTAGCTGCACAGTATCTGCGCTAAACTGCTCTTTGGGATATAATGGAAAGGGCTGTTCATTCCCTGCCTCCCTCCCTCCGCTCCCCAAGTCCTGCTGGCAGGGTTCATGCTGGCTCTGCTTCACAGCTGCTGCCTCCACCTACCGCAGAATGATAAATGTGCCTCGCCCCAAAGAGCGGGAGGCTGCTAGCTCGCCAGGCAGGCGTATGCCACCCATCAGCCTATTCAGCAGGTGCACTGAGCCGTGGCACTGCAAGGATTTTATCAGCCTTTAACGTGTTAACTTTTCATTAGACACAGCAGCCCCTGGCCGTGCCTCCTGCTCTCTCTGTAATCCTGCCATTAACTGGGCACCACGTAATCTCTCATCAGAGAGTGATTTTCTTCCTTGCTCAGCCCTCCCTCCTAAGAACGGCTGATACCCTGGGCACAAGCCCTGAAAGCTGGCACACCTCACTGGTGCACCTGAATTTACCAAGTCTTGGGGTGGGTTCCTGAGGATCTGGGAACAGCAGCTGGGTCTGTACACTGCTCACTGCACAGAAGGGTGCATGGGAGGGTCAGACCGATCTCCTCCTTCTCTTCCCCCCCACCCCACCTGCTCTTTGCTGTGTGCAGTCCCTGTTGTCAGGAATGCCTAGGGAAAGGGGTCAATGAGAGCCCACATGGCAAACAGCTGGTGTGGGGATGTTCCCACAACTTCTAGTACTAGGGCTAAGCTTGGTCTGCAGGAGGCATTGACTTGGTAATGCTCTCCCAACAGAGGAGACTCGGAAAGAGCGGATGGCAAATTGTAATTAATTTGCGTTGTGGTAACACCTGGGCGGGAATCCCATTGTGCTAGGTGCTGTACATGCACAAAGTGAGAGAGACCCTACCCCAGTGAGCTTAATGTCTACCTGGGCAAGACACAAAGGATGGGTGCGGGGGGGAATAACTTGCCCAAGGTGGCAGAGATTAAGTGATTTACCTGCGGCCACACAGTTGGTCAGTAGCAGAGCCAGGAATAAAACCTAGGGCTCCTGGGTCCCAGTCCAGTGCCCAATCCACTGGACCACGTTGTTTCACGTATGAGCGGACGTGCTATCAAAACAAACGGATGTGACACTTGAGGTTGGCTGTGCAGAGAGATTATAAGGTGGCAATTACAGCCCATGCCTCCCTCTCTCTGGCTGGCCCTGAGAGCATCCCTGCCATGCAGGATTCAGTCCCAGCTACCTTGATACCAGAAAGAAAGAGGCAGATTGGAGAAGAGCAGTACAAGGGAAATGGGGACTGGAGGGTTTGCTTGTGAGGAATTATTGAAAGAGCTGAACAGTTCAAAGCTGGCTAAACGGGGAAGTGAGTGTTTGTCGTGTGGATCTGCAGGGGAGGAATGGTTTGTGTGTGAGTGTAACTGGGAGGATGGGGATGAAGTTAAGCAATGGAAAATTTAGGCAGTGTATGGGAGAATTTCAGAAGTACTCACAATTAGCCTGACTGCTCCCACTGGAGTCCATGGCAAAATACTCAGTGACAGAGCCAAGGTGCTCAGCATAGGCCTTACTTCACACCCAGAACATCCCGCCCTTCCTGTCTGTAAGAGCTGCTAGCCTGGGGAGTGGTGAACAAAGCCTCCTCACTTGGATAGGACAGAGTCCTGCCCGGGCTGAGGTGGCAGGGGCAGGGCTGAGGTAAATGTCATTGTCGTCTGATTCCTCGGCTTCACCTAGATGGTGGTTCCCATCTCTCATCTGGGTTATAATGGGGGCCAGGGGGCTTCCCTCTCCATGTCCATTCAGCAGAGGCCTTCTCCATCTAACTGCCTCAGTAGGTCCTGAGACCTGACATACAGGAACCATCTTCTCCTGGGGAGTTCAGTTTCCATGTCCATTCAGCTCTCGGTTTCTGCCAGTAGACCCCAGACCTGTTCTGGCAGAGCCATCCTCCTCAGACGTGAGTGGGGGAGCCACGTCTCCATGCTCCTTCAGTTTAGAGGAGCAAAATTAATCTGCTCCATAACCTTACTGTGGCCACCAGCTCCCCTTTTCCCTCCCTTTCTAGCTCCCTTGCTTGTTTCTTGCTCCATCCCTGATCTGGAGGGACCGTTGTCTCCTGGGGTGTGGGCAGCAGGAGGATTCGCTCCATCCTACCTCAGTCTGGGGACTCTTCTCCAGCACTGAAGTCGGAAAGCCTTGGCGACACAGAGCCTAAGTGGAGAGCAGCAGAACTCCCCATATCCAATCCCTGGCCCCCCTGCTATCTGCCCCCTACATGCTGTAATGCTCTGTTGTGGTGGTTTCCCCCCCCCCCCCCCAGGTGGAGGCGGAAGAGCACCAGGACGTGGTGGTCTATGACCAGAGCACACGGGACGTGAGTGGCTTGGCTGCCGACAGTTTCCTCTCCATCCTCCTGGGCAAGCTGGACAGCTGCTTCCACAACGTCTCCATCCTCACAGGTAGGATCTGGCTGGGATGCCATGGAGAAGTGGGAGCTCTGCCCCTGAAAGGGGGCGGAGAGGATGTCTCTCTTGAGTATGCGTGGTTGTGACTAGTGTTTCTATCTCCAGGCCAGACGCTGGGTCACCGGCACTTTAGGGTGCCCATGGGAGTGCCTCCATGCCTTCAGGTGACACTCCTGGATGAACTGTGCCATCTCCCAGAGATGGGATGTCCTTAGAGGGTGTCGTGGCACCAAGAATGCAGACTGGCTGCAACACCTATCTGGCGCATCACCAGTCCTGCTCATCTGTACCCCTGTCTAAGCCGGCCTTGGGTGCCTCAACCTGTAGGCAGGTGCTATAATGAGGGACTGAGACATTTGTAGTCGCTCTCATCCCAGTCTACCTATGAGAGGCCACCTTTTCACCTTCCACTGGAAGGCAGCCACTTCTGGGGTGGAACCCAGCAGCTGTTTAATACCACACTGAAAAATACCACAGTGCTTCTAAGACCGGAAGTGAAGAATTCTAGCCCCGGGAATGAAGACTAACATCACCCCAGTTGAAAATGTAGAGGAAGTTTGTGTTAGGCAGGATGTAATTACCTGAGCTGGATTGTGGCCTGGGCACTGGGATTAACACCCTTTCTCTTGGGCCAGGGGATCTGCAACGAGTGCTCAGCACTCCCGCTTTAGATCCGCTCTTAAAGAGAGCGCTTGGGTTCAATGCTGGGAGCTCAGCAGCCTGAGAGAGGGAAGAAATTCCCCATGGAACCCAGCCACATCCAGTGCTGCGCGTGTCGTGAAGAGGGACCCGTGTGCCATAGTGTGGATCTGCTGCCCCGGGTCTGGCTGACACAGCCCACAGTTAGCAACGCAGGGCTGTTAGATGTTTCTTGGCTCGGGAATGGAGGGTGAATAACGACACTGTCTTCCATGTCCTGAAGTGCTGAGTGTTAATGATGTATATTTTCCCTGGTACTTTACAGTGCTGGCCCATGTCAAACCTACTACGGGGATCATGACCTGTGCATAGTGCCCCGGGGTTGGTAATGTGGCCCTAAAGAGGGGACTCTCTAAAGGTCTTGTTAGATAACAAATAAAAGGAAGTTCTTCTTCATGCAGCGCACAGTCAACTTGTGGAACTCCTTACCTGAAAAGGTTGTGAAGGCTAGGACTATAACAGAGTTTAAAAGAGAACTGGATAAATTCATGGTGGATAAGTCCATTAATGGCTATTAGCCAGGACGGGTAAGGAATGGTGTCCCTAGCATCTGTCTGACAGAGGATGGAGATGGATGGCAGGAGAGAGATCACTTGATCGTTGTCTGTTAGGGTCACTCCCTCTGGGGCACCTGGCATTGGCCACTGTCAGTAGACAGGATACTGGGTTGGATGGACCTTTGGTCTGACCCGGTACGGCCTTTCTTATGTATGTTGTTGAGATACAGTTGGCCAGGGAGGGTGGGTGTGAGCGAGAGGAAGGAGCTGTGGGTGGCTCCAAAGGACCAAATTAACTTGGAACAAAACTCCTTGGGTATGTTTAGTGCCTGTATTTTGTTCCACGCAGACAAGAGGCCCCATCCAGAGTGGGATCTGAACAATACTAGGCCCAGCATTGTTCATCAATGACTGTTACTGCTATGCTTTTAGTATGATTTCTCCAGAGAGACCTTTGCGCTCAAAATAGAATACAATACATCATAATTTTAGAGAGTTTTTTTTCTTTCTTCCCAAACTCCGTCCTAAGTAAACCATGCTACACACTTCCCTGGTCAGTGTTCTGTCCAGGCCACAGGTTTATGTCCTGGTTCTAGCACAGAAGAGCCCTTGTCCACATTGCTCAGGGGAAAAAAATGCTAGAATCCTGCTGGGAGTGAGCATGTCTAGGCCTGGGCGTAGCCAGCACCGTTCTGCTCCCACAGAGAACCTCACCGTATTTGCAGCTGTTTTTCTTGGGCCATTTGTGAGTGTGCCAGAAGTCTCCAGTATCTCTTGTAAATGGGCTTCAGGGCAGTGCACCCTCTTGAGGGATCTGCCAGCGCCGCTCAGTTGTGCCCTTCTTCACTTGTTCCCTCTGCGTTAAGCTGGGCTGCCCCCTGAGCTTGTGTTTCCCCAGGATGCTGTCACTTGGGAACAGATGTGGGCCAAAGGCTGCACTCACTTGGCTTGGCTGGTGGCATGTTGTGCGACCGCAAGGGAGAGCTGGGTTTAAGGCTGACTTTGGGGCGGGTGGGGGTGCACAGCACATCCAGCCCATAGGCTGGTGCTATTGTTCCCTGTGGAAGGGCAGCATGGCAGCCTGTCATGTTTCCTGGGCACACGCAGACAGGGATGATACAGTCTTTCTCTAGACTATGTGAGGGTTAGTCTGCCTGGCTGTTGTCTATTGAGCTCAAGGAACAGCTCCCCAAGCTCAGTCAGTAAAGGAAACTCATTGATTAAACATTGGTGTCTGTTCCATGTGTTCCCCCCAGTAGAGGGCAGTGTTGTCCATCAACACAAAACAGCTCCATCCAAGCTCCCCCAGGAAGAAGCGCGAGGCTTCTGGACATGAGGGCAGCTGCAGGGGTTGGGGTTTGCTTGCTCTTCTGGCTCTTTTTCCTCTTGTACCTTCTAGCTCCCGGTGTTTTTAGGGGACGTTTTCTGTCTCTTACTTGGAGCCAGTCCCACAGTAGGAGCAGCCAGCAGAGCTGTTGTGTAACGGAATAGCTTTGCTGAGGAGGGAGCATGGATGGGAGGATGTGGGTGGAGAGGGCAGAAAGGTTGTTGAAAGTATCCAGTTACCCTCTCCCAGATTAAATCATCCACCCCATGCTGCTTAATATTTAAAAAGTGAATGAATGACCAGAGCTCCACTCATTCTCGCGCCTATTAAAAAAAACCCGGGGAGGGGGAGGATTCTTCATTCAGAAAAGGAGGAGTGGGGGGTGGAGGAATTATCGCTGGAATGAATCAGGGTCCCCTGGGTGTTATCCAAGAAGACAGAGCACATGAGAGCAAGTGAGCATGATGTTCTAATTATAGCCTTGCTGCAGAGCAAGCGTTGCTTTCCCGGTGCTGGGACAAAGCTCACGAAAAACAGGGTAGGGAATGAATGAATGAAACTCTCTCTCTGGCAGGACAAAGAGCTGGTGAGCGGGTGTCAAGAGGGTGAAAGCGCCTGTTCATTCTGGCAGCTAGGAAGGCAGGGCTGCCTGGCTTGTTTCCCATCACGTAGCCATCCTGTGCATTCTTTGCTGCATAGGACTCAGGCAGCCTGCTCCTGCCCTTGGATGCAAGGCACATGTAGACACGTGCAGCAACTCAAGCTGTGTTAATGCTGGTAGGTGCCACCATAGCACTGGCTCCTTCAAGGTCACGCTCTGGGAGTTAAAGCAGGGGACCCCTGGCTTCTCTTCCCTACTCTGCCAGTGGCATGCTGTGTTTTTTTGGCAACAACTGTGGTTCAGTTTTGCCCTCTGTGCAATGGGGATGAAATTTGTTAGCACCTATGGAAGAGCCTGGCTCAGTTCCATGCTGGCCAGGTACAAAGGCTGCATCTAATTGTGGAAACAACATAGCAGCCACAGGCTTTTGTCACAAAGGACACGTCTCTGGCGAATATATGACCTTAGTAATCTGAACTGCTCTGAGATCCATGGGGCTGTGTTTGTACAGTGCCTAGCACAAGGGGGCCTTGATTTTAGTTGGGCCCTCAAGGTACTACTGTCGTATGCAGAAGAAAGGCTCAAGGAGAAGGCTTTGACTGTACCCAGGGCTTTAAAAACCAGCAAAGCCACCTTTAAAATCCCCCTCATCACTTCAGAGGTAGCCAGTGTAGTAGGGCATAGGGTGGGAGTGATATGAAAGAGGACCTCAGGCCAACGAGCAAGCCTACTGCTGCCTCTTGAACAATCCACCAGTGCAGTGAAGCCTGGTTGAGAGGAGATAGCAGTAATCCAGGCTTGTGGTCGGCAGGGCCTGTTCTGCAGCTCCAAGGTCACTGTGGTGTCAGTAAGTGCAGAGCCCCGCATAAATTGCACAGCGAGGGGAAAAGAATCCTCTTTACCAACCTCTGTAGGAGCCAGCTCAGTCAGTGGGGATGTGTCAGGAGCATCCTCCTTGCCATGACCCCTAATGCACCAGCAACACTTTTGCTTTCCCAAGGTCGAAGAAGAGGAAGTTCCAGTGCATTTAGCTGGCAAACTCGCCCAAGCCCTCCCTCCAGAGCAGAGACCCAGCTCCAGGTGTGGAGCAGTAATTATTGCTAATGCTGCCCCATTCCCAGATGTGTAGTGATTTGCATGCCACTGGCAATGAGCAACCCACATGAGAGCAGAAAGGTGTGAGTCACCCCCATCATGCTGGATTTCATGCCCAGGTTGGTCACAGTGGCACAGAGCCTCAAAGGTGTCTAGGAGCCTAACTCCCATTGCAAATAATAGGAGTTGGGTGTCTAAGCCCCTCTGAGGAGCTGTGCTAATGGGCGCTTCTCCTCTCTTTAGCTCACAGGTTCCATAAGGTGAAATACAAAATCTGAACTCTCCTGTGCTGTACAGGTGCCTTTGGACTGCGGGGAATTGCTAGCTGGGGGGCAGAGTACTTCTCACAGTACCCTTTGCTGTCCCGTTGGCAGAGCTCACGTCGCGTCTTCTCAGCTATAGTACAGTATTTTGGACTTTTATGGGTCTCCCTTTTTTTCCTGTACACAGAACTACCTGTTACCTCCCTTTTTTCCCCCTCTCTGGTGCCACACGCTATGGGTCCATCGGCACTGGCAGGTATCATTTCCAGCTTGAGGAGATATGCCAGCACTCACTCTGATCCCGCTAGCACACTAAAAAGAGCAGCGTAACTGTGGCCGCATGAGCGGCGGGAAGGGCTAGTTGCCCTGCGTACACCCCTAGGGTGTCAGACGGGATTAGCGCCAGGACCGTTAGCCCGTGCAGCCGTGGCTACACTGTTATTTTTAGCACAGTAGTTCTGTCGAGCACGGGTATCTCTGCCCAAGCTGGAAATTTACACCTTTCGCTCCAG